TTTTTTTTTTTTTTTTTTTGAACAAAAATTATTTTCTTTTTCTAAATCATCGAATGTTGTGTTTCTGTGAATTTCAAGAAACTCATCACCTTCTTAAGATTCTCAATCGCAATTAATTAGCTCCTCTCTCGATTCCTTGTTTTTGCAGGTATTTTTGTTCTGAATTTAATTGATCGAAGAGAATCAATAATTTCTCTTTTCTACGTCTCTGTGATTTTCTTTCTTCTTATGTATGGTGATGATAATCGGTGTGTATGATTAGCTAAGTTGAAAATTTTCTTCTTGATAGACAGTCTTTAAAAGGTATTCTTTACTCAAAGTTACCATGTTCGTGAGATTTGATTATTTAGTTTAATCAATCAGATGAATCTTTGACCAGTAACCAATTAATCTAAAATCTGGTTCATGTATCCCCACTTAATAGGCGAGATCATAGAAACTTAAGTTCAAAGATGCAGAATTTATTCTCCATATTTTTCGTTATTTTCTTTTGACCATCTATGTGTTTATAAACAAATCAATTCTAATTGTTAGTATATTTAATATCTTCAGGCCTTGGTTTGAAAGCCTAGTTTCATCTCTAGCTGAATTGTAATCTGTATTGCTTAGGACAGTCAAAAACCTTTGACGGTTTAGCAATAAAGATGTTGGGAGGCAACTATGACAACCCTTTACCGCAGGATAGCCAGTTTCAGTATCAGTCAAACACTTCCCTGAATCAGCCTCAATTGGTTGGAACCAGTAAGTTTCTTAATTTTTATTTTTGTTCTTGGAATGTTGTTAGAATTTATAAATAAAGCTAAAAGCCTTTTTTCCCTTTGTATGTGGCTACAGTGAACGCTGGTTGCACTATTGATCCTATAAACTACTTTGCTAATGATAACCTTGCTCTGATGACTCGGAATAATAGCAAACGCGCTAGGGAAACCGAGATCATACAGAGACAGCAGAAGCTGCAGATCTCTTTGAACTATAACTACAACAACAATAGTGTTGTTCAAGATGAAGCCCCAAAGCACAACTTAGTGTCAACTGGTCTGAGACTATCTTATGACAACGATGAGAGAAACTCTTGTGTAACTTCTGCAAATGGAAGCGTCGCAACTCCAATGTTTCAGTCACTCGGTGACAGTATCAAGTTGGACTTTGATAGACAGAAAGACGAGCTTGATCAGTTTATCAAAATCAGGGTACTAATTCTATCTGCAAAGCTTATGTTCTTTCTTATACATATATTTATCCAATGTTTTTCTTTGGAAACAGGGGGATCAACTGGCGAAGGGTGTGAGAGATATAAAACAGAGACATGTCAGATCTTTTGTCACGGCCTTAGAGAAGGATGTGTGCAAGAAGCTTCAAGAGAAAGACCATGAGATTGAAAGCATGAACAAGAAGAACAGAGAACTCGCAGAGAAGATAAAACAATTGGGGGCTGAGGCTCAGAACTGGCATTATAGGGCAAAGTACAATGAATCTGTGGTTAATGCCTTAAAGGTAAATCTGCAACAAGTGATGGTGTCACATGGAAATAACATTGGAGGAGGTTTATTAGCTGATCATCATCATCACGTTGAAGAAGGGTTTGGGGATAGCGAGATTGATGATGAGGCAGCTTCATACAACTACATGAACATCCCAGGGATGCCAAACGCTGGGATGAGATGCAAGTCCTGTAACGTGAAGGAGGTTTCGGTCTTGCTTGTGCCTTGTAGGCACTTGAGTTTGTGTAAAGACTGTGATGTGTTCACTGGTATTTGTCCGGTTTGTCATTCTTTGAAAACTTCTAGCGTCCAGGTCTTTTTCACATGAGATGAATCGATGAAATAGTCTGTCCTCATACTCTGGAAAAGCTAATGGTGCTGGAAAATGGAACATATTTTGTATGTGATGATTATGTCAAGATGAAAACTTGCTGTAGTCTTTGCTTTTTTGCCACTGAAACTACATGATTGATGATACTGCAATTTAATAAATTCCATGAGCAAGAGATACAAACTGAGTACAAGTGCGACATGTCAAAAGCTGTGTGGATTCAGATTCAATGCCGAAGGAAATTAAACCCTAATCAAGTGCAACCCACTTTCATCTATAATCCCTATATTCTTGCTATAGAAAGATTTTGTAACTATAGTGAATGAAAAAAAATACTTGCTATGATTTATTTGTGTTTTTAATTAGGTGTAATATTTCTATTCAAATTCAATTATAGCGACTAGCGAGAGATATATAATCATCACTACGACCACCCATGTCTATAATAAGCATTTTCTTCTCTCCAACATTGATTAGTTAGAAAATTTTAAAAGTTTGCTAACTTCTAAGCAAATTTATTTTATGGACCACTAAATATTTAAAATTAGATATGGACCCGTGCGTTGCACGGGTTTTGATTAATGTTTTATAAGTTTAATAAAAAAAAGATAAAAATAAGAAACTTTTTTTTTATTGAAATTGAATGTTTTTATATATGGTGTATCGAATTCATCTTAGGAATCAAAATTCGGTTTTTTACATAAGTTTTGGTTAAACTTCAATTCAATAATCATGGCACATATACGTAGAGCTAGAGAAAATAAGCGAGACCCAAAAGTTCAAATTAAACGCAATCTAAAGAAATGTAAATTAGAGTGAAATACAAAGAGTTTGAAAGGTGAATCAAGCCAATCAAGTATATGATAATGGAATATACTTTATTAAACTCTTAGTTTTGTCTTTATTAATTTGCTTTTATTCTTCTTACTCAAAGATATTATGAAGTTTCAATTGTAATTTAGTAATGCTTGTGTTGTCATTGTAAGGTCTCGATTTTTCTGTGCTTTTATCATTTATATACTTTGGTAATAGAATTTCTCTATTTTAGAACAAAATTTATAGATGAATCTATGAGTGAATTGCAAATAATCTTAGTTGTATAGGTAATAGAAAACATTATATATCAGCATTTTATCATCTAATTTAGAGGTAATAAAACTATTAATACCTTATGAAATTTTATCCTGTTTTGATCCTTGTAGCCACAAAAATATATGTGTTTTATAAAAATTATGTTTTAAAATCTCGATTGTATGAATAATCTTTTATGAAAATATATTGTATTAGTACATGTTTTAATAGACATGAAAAAGAGACAATCATTTAAAAATATTTTTATTTTATTTCATTTCAAATATATGATATTCAATATTAAATATATATTTTAGAGTCTTGTTTCTCTCTTTTAATGGTCTCATTCCATGACGAAATCCAACAGCCAATTTCAAGTTTTTTCTTACTTTGAATATGCAGCTATATTAACAAAATTTTCCAGAAAAGAAATATGCATATAATATTAAATTATGATTTTCTGCACAAAACAATTAATTACATAACTATACATATAACCTTTTTAATAAAATAAGAAAAGGAACTAAATATTTATCTTTACATCAACTAAGAGAAAATTTATTCCTATTTGTTCTTTATTTTTATTTTTTACTTACTTCTCACTTTTTAGTAACAATAAATAACTTTCTTACTACTGATTCGTTTTAAATAATTTTACGAATTCATTATTTTTGATGATATATTTTCATTATAACAACTTAACTAAAAATTAATTATAAAAACAGAGTAATCACAAAAAAATGTAATAAGGTGATGCATGGAACTTGATTTTTTTTAACCAAACACATATAAAGATCAATTATGGTTATAATATATTAATATTTTAAATGATTGAACACTAAAAATTATATCAAATAGGTTTTTGATTTTCGTATGACCAAACACATAAAAACTAAACATGACAACATCCTAATTTTCATATGATTATTTATAAAAATGTGAATACAGTTAAACGCTACAAAAATACTAAAATAAAAATAATCAAAATTATATTAAGCTACCTTGAATTCATTTAAAGCACATAGCCTGCTTTAACAAAAGGGATAGAACTAAAAATGAAAAAAAGACATCTACTGTTTTTAAAATAGACAATAAAGCATTGATATATTATAAATTTTAAAGATTACATGAATCTAAATGTTTTGAATTTTTCTAAAAAGTGTCGCTTGTTTCTTCTTACCTTTGTGTTTCGTTCTTTTCTTTGTTATTTTACAATATTATCCATAGAAAGTGACTAAACAGAAAAAATAAAATTCAAGTAATTAAGTTACAGATATAATATATCTACCTAACATAAGATATAGTATATTTACTTTTATGTGTTTATGAATCTTTACAACTTTGATAAAAAGATTGAATTTATCCTTTTTAACATTTATCTCAAATAAATAAATTTCATCCATAATTAAATGTACGTTCTTTGGAAATATCTTATAATCCTTGTTCATGTGTGTTTATTTTAAACTGTCAATATTGATTAGTAGATAAAATTATAATAACACAAATAGCATGCACAGATTATTATTATATCTTTAATATTTAAATCTTAGTTCTTCCATAGTTGTTCCAGTTATATCTATATTATTATCATCAAATAATTTTCATCATCGACTATTACTTCAATTTTGTAACTGAAGAAAATTGATTAGTTTTAAACTTTAATAATAGATCAGTATATATGGATATATTTATTTATTTGTAACTATATATTAGTTTTAAACCTTATAGATAAATATCAATGTGTATCGATGATATAAAACAATTATAGTTTTGTTATCGGTGGTTAATTATATAATACAAATTGTGAAAGAAATTACATAAGCGTTCTACAGTCAACAATTGTACGCATTTTATAGATTCACGTCTACATCCCCATAAGTTTTACATAGGACTCACACCATACATATTTTTTGTACAATGCTAAAATTATCTTATAAACATTTTGTCCAGTAAACTGATAATTTCCTTCTCACAAACTCAAAACATGGACCTGATAATATAAAAAAATTAATCTTTAGTCAAACCTAGACCAATGGGCTTCCATAAAAAAATATTTAATTATATGAAAATAATAAAAATATTTTTACAGTTCTCTTTTTGTTTGGAATTTTAAAGAAAATTCTTTATTTTAAACCAATGCCTACTGATTTTGTAATTATCTTAACCCATGTTTTTTTGACTTTTCAAATATTATTTTATTTTAAATAAATACTACAACTAAAATAAATTTATAGACTTCTAATTATTTTAAACACATATTATATTTGGTAGTGCAAATAAGATTCTACAACTAAAATAAAATTATAATAAATTTTGGTTTTAGAATTCTCTTTGTAAAATCTAAAATACTATTATATTTATAAGATTTTTTAAGATTTTATTTTGTATATAAAACTTAAAATACTGTTTTTCCTTGTAATTATTTTAAACCCATGCTTAGGAAAATAAATACTAATATTAATATCGATTTTTTGTTTGTTTACAATATTTTGTAAAAATTAGAACAATATAAAAATTACTATTAATAACTATTTCTAAGAAAATTTTTGAATTCCTTTTTAACTTAAAAAGGAAAAATTACTATTAAAGAATTATTTTTAAGAAAAAAATAAATTTGTTTAGTTTTGAGTATTTTTTTATAAATAAAATTGTAAGAAAAAATGAAATTCGTTTTTAGTTTGAGTATTTAAAAAGGAAAGTTATGATTTAAATTCGTTTAGTTTAAGTGTATTTTTAAGAAGGAAAATTGTAAGAAAAAAAGAAATTCGTTTAGATTAAGTATTTAAGAAAAAAAAAGGAAAATTATGATTTAACATATGTCATAATCTTAGATATGTAATTGCCACATGTCACAATCAAGTTAATTAGTAACTTTGAAAACCAAGCTTTATATAATAAGATTTATACACACGTTTGTTAATACTAATAAGCATTTGTTTGTTGTTTTATATTTGAGATTTTTTCTTTAAGTTTGTCTCTAAATTAAACAATATCCAAAAAAAATCAATGTGATTTTCTCGTGTTTAGAGATGAATTTAACTTAATTTTGTTACATTATTACAGTTTGGAAAACTAAATTTTGTTACAAAAATATAAATAATTTATGAACTGATAAAATTTACTATATCATATATAATTTAAATAAATACAATATACTTTAAATTATACAATATATAATACTAAAATAAATAATAAATTTTTATATTAATTTTAATGCCTTAATAAAATTGAAATATCCCGTGAGAACGCACGGATTCAAATCTAGTTTATGTTAACAAATGTCATATCACAAACTTTGACTTGTTTGAACTGAAAATTTATGTCAACAATAGTATAATAACCTATTTAAGAGTTTTTTTTTTTTGTGTTCACTCGCTAAGATGAACCTACATATTTACTAGCTAATACTACAATTTGCTAACACATATTCAATTTATTTTTTCAAAAAGTAGAAAGTAATCAGAAATAATATCATCTACAAAAAATGAAAAAATAGTAATGTCAAAGTTTTTAACGCAGTCTGACTCATCAAATGATTTTCGATATCCTCACTAAATTTGGGTTATATCCAATTCGAAAGATGCAACCTTAAACTCTATTTATTAAGTGATGAACTCGAAATCTTAATTTTAAACACTATTTAATATGGGATGAACCATAAACTCTAAGATATAAACACTAGACCCTAAATTGTTTAGGATTCACTTTCTAAAGTTTATAATTTACTTCCTAAGTTTTAGAATTCACCTCCTAAAATTTAGAGTTTAGGATTGTATCTTTCGAACTGATTTTTAGTGAAGATATTTATGAAAGATTTGCTGGGTTGGATGATATTAATATATTTGTCATTTTTTTGTGGTAGACAATATTATTTGACTATTTTTACCTTTTGCAAAAACAAAAATATAAATTAACAAATTATTATTAGAGCATTTCCAATGGTGTTACTATCATTGGAGTCCTTAGCATTATTAAACTCATTTTTTTTTGAATAGTTAAGGACTCTAATCAAAAATATTTGTCCAATGGTGTACTCCATTTTTAAATTATTAGGAAAAAAAATTAAAATTTAAAACATGTGAAATTTAAAATTTTATTAATTGCATGATTAAATATAATGATACAATAATTATTAATCTTCATCACCAATTTTGTTCTAAATATTTTCAATTAAATCATTTTTCAAATGTTCATGTATATGCCTATCGTGAACATGATTCCGAATGCCAAGCATATTACCGAGATTGTAGGCATGTCGGTACTATATGACATATCGACCCGTGAACTTCTAATGACGTCTCCTTCAAATTCAGATATATCGTATTGAGTGTATCCATCTCGTTCATTTTTGACTATCATATTGTGTAGTATGATACATGTTCTCATAATTTTCCCAATCTTTTCCTTGTCTCATGAAAGAGCCGGGTTTTTCAAAATCACAAATCGAATACTCCAAAAGCCCGCTCTACATCTTTTTGGGTTGCTTCTTGAACTTCAGAAAATAACTCTGCTTTGAGACCTTGAGGAAGTGAGATAGATTGGATAAATGTTGACCATTTTGGATATATACCGTCTGTGAGGTAGTACGCCAAATTATACATATGTCCGTTGACCATGTACTCTAACCTCGGAGCTCGACCTTGTAAAATCTCATCAAAAATAGGAGACCGATCGAGGACATTAATATCGTTTAAGGTACCTGGAGGACCAAAAAAACGTGTCATATCCAAAGATCGTGTGAAGCTACAGCCTCTAAGACAATTGTCGGTTTTCCCAATCCATGTGTGTACTGTCCTTTCCAAGTTGTTGGGCAATTTTTTCACTCCCAATGCATACAGTCAATGATTTCCACCATCTCAGGAAATCCGCGTTTCTCTCCGATATTGAACAGTCATTGAAGATCCTCCGGTGTGGGTCTCTGTAGATACTCATCTCCAAATAAATGTATTATTCCTTCAGTGAAATTTTGGAAACACGAAATTGGCGTGATTTCACCAAGACGGAGATATTCGTCAACCATGTCAGCTGCAAAACCATAAGCAAGTAGACGAATTGCTGCCGTAAATTTTTGTAGTGGGAAAGACCAAACCTCCTGATTGCATCTCTTCTTTGTCGAAAGTATGGAACGTCCTCTGAGAGGCGATGGACAATACGCAAGAATAATTCCTTGTGCATGCAGAAACGGCGTCTAAATAATTGTGCCGGAAATGTCAGATCTTCGCTGAAGTAGTCATTCCATAAACGGTTGTGTTCTGCTTCGTGGTTTCGTTCTATATACGCATGTTTCCTTTACTTTTTGGGTTGGGCCTCCACTATGCTGTTGAATGTATCTTCGAAGATATCGTCGAAATCTTCGTCCAATCTTTGTTCGAGTTCATCGGATGAAGATGATGACATTGTGTGGGTATTATTGGACTTGCTAATCCCTCCTTGAAAAAAAAAATTGAAACCAAACGGTTTAGACGTTTAAAAATATCATATATTATAGTTTCTCTGAAAGTTCTATAAAAAACATGAAGAAGTATTTTGATTCTATGTAAAGTAATTGATATAACATATAATTCATATTAACATTAAGTAGAACTTGTTTCTCTCAACTTGTTTTAACCATTCGGAAGACATAGTTTTTAAAACGGATTTGATATACAATTACTAACGCAATCAAATCCGTTTTATATACAATTATAGACGCAATCAAAACCGTTTGAACTTTAGAAAAGAAAGAATTTTGAACTATAAAAGCAGAGCACATTCACAAGATAAATTTGATAAGGATGAACACGAGTAAAAACATAAGTTTTAACCTTGTACTTGTGATCACTGGAGTTAAAGACAAGCAACTTGATAAGAATACTAGTCAAGACAAGTCAATCTTAATAGAAGAAAAGAGCAATATCAAAACAAGTCCAGAAGTTGGAGAAATAGTAGCAGTAGATTATTACAATTCTGATGAAGTGGAAACAAAGCAAAGGAGATAGGTAGCTAAATAAAGGCTTCACATAAGCTTATAGAAGTCAAGTGAAACAGAAGAACCCGTGAATTGATTCACATGTCCTACAGAGCAAAACACTTGCACTTTTCCAAATGCACATGTGACTTTGTTAATATGTCATAGTACTGACCCTGCAACAACAAATAAGACAAGAGTAAGCATAAGTATAATAGTAATAAGTACTCAAAAGAACATGAAGTACCTTCTGCCTAGATCTTTGCTTGTGTAAGTTGTTGCAACAATAGGCACACTACCACAGTAGCATGTTTTCGGGATTCCATCATCAACCTCAAGTTGAGGAGTGTACTGAACCGGCTCTGCAATATTGTGGCTACTCTTAGCTTCATCCGCGTAGATATCAGCTTCTGCTTGAAAAAGGCAAACTAAGTTTATATGATACTCTTCTGATGAAGAAGGCTGGCTGTAGCTATATTGTTCTATGTTTCGTTAACTTGAAAGAAGAGCAACATAGTCGTTAATACTACTCATAGAATCAGAGCACATAATGTGACAACATTAAAAAACAATCGCAAACACTAAGCTCAATAGACTCAGAGCACATAAGCTCAATATTTTCTCCAAAAGAATCAGAGAGACACGGAGTCAGAGCACATTCACAACAGATGATTCACTAATCTCCAGACTCACAGAGACACAGAGTCAGAGCGCATTCATAACAAGATAACTCCAGACTAACAATCTTAAGAACACAAGTCACATAAGCTCAACCTTTTCTCCAAAAGAATCATAGAGGCACAGAGTCAGAACACATTCACAACAGATGATGCACTAATCTCCAGACTTACATAGACACAGAGTCAGAGCACATTCATAACAAGATAACTCCAGACTAACAATCTTAAGAACACAAGTTGATTGAAACCCAAAACGATTGAAACAAAGTAAGAGCACATAATCACAGATTCAGAGCACATAATGTGACAACATTAAAAACAAACGCAAACCCTTAGCTCAACAGATTAAGAGCACATTCAAAACAAATGATTAACTAATCTAAAAAAAATCACAGAGTTAGGGAAACATAGCAAATAATCTTTAAGAGAACAAGATAATTCCAGAGAAGAAGATAAAAATCTTAAGAACACAAGACTCCCCAAATCGATCGATACCCAAAACGTCCGAATATTTCAAACCCTAAACAAACAAAAGAATCCCCAAATCGATTGAAACCTAGATTATTTTGAAACCCATATTATTTTGAAACCCGAACTACAAACAAAAGAATCCCCAAATTGATTGGAACGCAAATCGTTTTCAAACCCTAACTTCAAACGATAAGATTCCAAAATCGATTGAAAACTCAAATCCGAACCCTAAATTGCGAGGAAAACAACATGCAACCTAATCTAAATCCATAAATCAACCAGAGAACCCTTCGATTTACCTTGTTTAGCCGAGGAGAGAAGTATCGTCTTCTTGCCGCCAGAGACTTTTTTTTTTCTCATGTAGAGTCAAAAATGAAACGTTTTTTTCCTCGTCTCAACACAATGCTCCACCAAGCCAATCGCACACAGCCACGTCAACAAGGACCGAATCCTTAAAATCGCTAATTATGGATCGCTCTTTAGCTTTGGGGGAATTATATTATTATTTTATTCTTATTAACCTATAATTTTGTGCTAAGGATTTCTAATCATCCTCGGTTGCGGATGCTTGAACAAAAAAAACCTCTGAATAACAAAATGACTGTAACAACTTGTAGCAATTAACTATTGGATATATATACTTTAGTGTTGGAGGCCCAGGTCCATAGTAAAATAAAGAACAAAGACACGTGAGCATCACGTGACGTTATCTTCCTACATCCATCATCCACAGTCATTCATTTCTCTCTCCCACAAAATCTTGACATTCAAATTCACTGTAATAAAACGAATCCTAACTCTTTCTCTCTGGGTTTCTTAGGTTCCTTCGTAGCACCGTCTGATTAAGGCCACTCAATCTTTGAACTCAAATATCGGCGAACACCAAAGTTGAGACTTGAGAGGATTATGACTCAACCTCCTATCGTAATCAAAGCATTCGTGTTAGAAAGGTACAGTTCCTAGCTTCATATATCTTCATCTAACTCGTTTACATTGTCGTTATTTTTATTTTCGTAACAGAGGATGTTAGTTATGTAGGTTCCAGAATTTCAGAAGCGTACATTCTCTGTTGCTCTTTAACTGAAAATACTTCTTTTCTTGTTTACAGAGAGTTAAAATGATGAATTTGGTTTCTCTCTGCCACATAACTTCTGGGTTTGTTCCGAGAAAGTCATATCTGTTTGTGAAACCGAGATTCAGAAGGTATGTGTCATTCAACCTGCTGAAGCTTTGTTCTTTGATTAATAATGAATGATTCATCTACTGTGACTATCACTAAGACTACTTAGCTTAGCTTCCCAGAGGAGATTTAATCACAAGACTACCGGTGCTTGAGAATCTGAATGCTAAAAGAACAAGAAGAAACCTTAGGTTTGTGCCAATTTTTTGTAAGAGTTATGAAGACACAGCCAAAGTATATCAAGAAGAGGAAATTCCCAAAGCAAAATTGATATGGAGAGCAATCAAACTACCCATTTACTCTGTCGCTTTGGTGCCTCTCACCGTATGTTTACCCTTTTCTTCCCTCCATTTTCCATTATATGCTATGAAATATTCTTCCATCATTCATAATGCCACAGGTTGGTGCTTCAGCGGCCTACTTAGAGACTGGTTTAGTCCTAGTTAGACGTTATGTTACTCTAATGCTCTCATCTGTACTTATCATTACTTGGCTCAACCTAAGGTGAGTGATTTTGTTCACTCTACACTCTCTTTCATGTATTTACTCTTTCTAAACATTGTTTTATGGCAGCAATGATGTTTATGATTTCGATACCGGAGCTGATAAGAACAAAAAGGAATCCGTCGTAAATATGGTTGGAAGGTAAAGAATAATAAAATTTACAACTTTGAAGTTTATATATTTTTTCTACTCACTTCCTTATAGTTTTCTTTTCACTGACTTGCTTTGCTTGGAAAAGCCGCTCAGGAACCTTAGTCGCTGCAATCACATCACTTGTGCTCGGTGTTTCTGGTTTAGTTTGGACATCTTGGACAGCAAGTAACATCCGTGCAATACTATTGCTTGCATCAGCTATATTATGCGGCTATGTATACCAGGTGAATGCAACTGTCTAAGTTGACAATGTGATAGTAATATCTAAAGAGATTTTAACTTGAACAATACTTTGAAATTTGGTTCTAGTGTCCACCATTTCGGTTAAGTTACCAAGGATTAGGAGAGCCTCTATGCTTTGCAGCTTTTGGTCCATTTGCAACTACTGCTTTCTATCTACTTCTTGGTACCTCAAGGTAATATAAAAAATTATATTATAACCCTAATATAGTTATGTTTCCATGAGTTGTTCATATTCAAAAATGTATATATCTTATTTGACAGCGAGATGAGGCAGCTTCCATTAAGCACTAGGGTCCTTTCATCATCTCTCCTTGTTGGTTTTACCACATCTCTAATCCTTTTCTGCAGCCACTTTCATCAGGTTGGTTAAAGTAAACACGGTCTAATGATTTCCACACAACAATGCTGATTATTTTATATTTGACAGGTTGAAGGAGATTTAGCTGTGGGAAAATTTTCACCTCTGGTACAAATGTGAAATACTTAACCGGGTTTTAATATGATGAATGTGTTTTAAATTTTGAGTGTCTTACTTAGGTTCGGTTAGGGACTGAGAAAGGAGCCTTTGTGGTGAGATGGGCTATTCGTTTGCTATATTCCATGCTTCTTGTTCTTGGTTTAATCAAAATTTTGCCAGTATCTTGCACAGTAAGTTAATACACAAATTTGAGACATGAATGAGAAATAAGAACATCTAAAAACCTATATTTATTGTTGATGGCTGTTTCAGTTGTGTTTCTTGACATTACCAGTAGGGAATTTAGTTTCAAGCTATGTCGAAAAGCATCACAAGGTAAAAAAAAAGTAATAATATTTTGATTTGAAGACTGAAATAGTTAGTTTAATTATGTAAATCTTGAATGCAGGAGAATGAGAAGATATTCATGGCTAAGTATTATTGTGTGAGACTCCACGCTTTGTTTGGAGCCGCTTTGTCGTTGGGACTCGTCATCGCTCGCTAGATTTCACCTTTGCTCTTGTTGCCTCTCAAAATATTTACTTCATTTTTATGCTAAAAATCAAAGAGGTTTTAAAAGTAGAAAGATGTTGGATAATCATACTCATAATCATGATTCATAATCATAAAGTATTAGTTGGGAATTTCAAGAAAATGAAAACATAAAGCGAATTCAATCCATTATCAAAAGTTCAAAACATATGATTACTACTGTTTGAGGTGGAAATGGTTCGAAACAATATAAAGAGAGAGATGAGGGCGAACAAAGACGTTTTTATTAGATCTGAACAAGGAGTTACAAAGAGAAGAGTAAAGAGGCGGACTAGCCGGAAGTACAAGGTGGTGAGTAAACGGGAAGGTGACTAAACAGGAAGGTGACTAAACAAGAGGGTGAGTAAACCCTAAATCTAACCACCTAGTCGCTAAGAAACCCTAGATCTAGCCGTCAAGTGAGTATCTTCAATTCCGGATCCCCTTTCCCTTTGCTGCCTCTCTCCTTTTATAGACCCTGTCTTCGTGTTCGCCCTAGTTCAATCAAGCCTTGTTGGGCTTGACTCTCATTAGGCCCGTTTAGTAGTCCGGGTAAGTCGCGCTTCAACCGACTCTTTTAGTCGCGCTACTAAACGCGTCTCATGCCGAGTCGTTTCGATATTACCTGGTGGGCCGAATTTCCCCCATTTGATGGGCCTTGCGGAGGGGTACAACCCATCTCCTACAATAAGTCCCCCCAGTTCACTTATGAGTTCATAGGACTCTAAGTGAATTTGTGGTCAGGTTTGATCAAATGGGGAATCTAGCATGGTTACACGCTTAGGCGACATGGCGGACATGTCTAGTCTCGCGGCTAGATCGTCGGCCATGAGCACGTTTAGGCGACACCACGGGCGTGTCTAGCCGCGCGGCTGGTTCGTCGGTCACGAACACGTTTAGGCGACACCTCGGGCATGTCTAGTCGCGCGGCTGGATCGTTGGTCACGAACACGCTTAGGCGACACTTCGGGCATGTCTAGTCGCGCGGCTGGATCGTTGGTCACGAACACGCTTAGGCGACACCTCAGGCATGTCTAGCCGCGCGGCTGGATCGTCGATCATGAGCGTGTTTAGGCGACACCTCGAGCAGATCTAGTCTCGCGACTAGGATGTCCTCCACTGTCGCGTAGATGCACCGGTTTGAGCTCGTCTAATAATGCGACCAGAATGTTAGTTGCGAACACATCCAGGCGACAGCTCGGGCGTGTCTAGTCTCGCGACTAGAGTGTCGACCGAGAGCACGTTTAGGCGACGTCTCGAGCATGTCTAGTCTCGCGACTAGGTAGTCCCATGTTGTCGCGTAAAGGCGCCATCTTGAGCTTATTCAGTAGCTCGACTGAGTTGGTGCATGTGGGAGCGCGTTTAGGCGACACCTTGGGCGCGTCTAGTCTCACGGCTAATGTGTTTCCTATTGCTTCATGAAGACATCCGAATTATTAACTAAGTTATCACTCGTGGAGCAACACTTACTTTGAGTAGATCATCTGAGTTGAGAGGCACATTCAGCCTCTAACCGTCGTCTGGTTCAATCTCAATCGCTGCTTGGTTTAGCTCCGGTTTAATCTCGGTTGGGGTAAACCGGTCTCAAGGGTTTAACCAAACTGGATTAGGTTAAGGGTTAGCAGATCTTGGATAATCTCCTGGGTTTTTGCGGTTAATGGGCTTATTTAGGCCCGTTTAAATGCATTAATTGCACTTAGAGAATCGTGCCTCTCGACTTTGCTATAAATAGGTAGATTCTCCCCTTCTTTCATTATTCTTCTCTGCAAACTCAGGTACTTTCTTCTCTCCCTTCTCTCTACTTTTAGCTTTCTCTCTCTAAGTACTCTGTTTCGAGTTATGGCACCGTCGGGACGATTATCTCGTGAGGAAAAAGGCAAAGGGATTGCCTGCGCCACCGGCCAGACCGATGATGTTACAGCGAACGGAAGTCCAATAGAAGACTTCAGTTTGATTCACCGCGACGCCTTGCGTAGGGAGAGGCTCGAGCTGCACAGAGACTCTGCAACGGATCTAGCGAGTGAAGAGGATGATTCAACCGCTGAAGAAGGGGATTCTAGTCGCGCGGCTAGCGGGTCTGAGCGAGAGGAGGGCGATTTACCCGGCGAAAAAGGGAGAGATGAGGGAGATTCTAGCCGCTCAGGTAACGAGTCCGATCAGGAGGGTGCCGAAAACTCGAGCTCTGACGAGGATGGTGAAGGTGCGGCGTCGCCGGATCAGAGTCCTCGAACTTTATGGTTAAGGCATCGAATCATCAGATTCGATTTAATTGAATGCAAGCCAACCATCCTTCGTCTCGATGGTACCTTCGAGGACCTGGACGCTCTTCCTCCAGAGTCGGCGCGGGATCCTTGGGCAGAAGGCCAGCGTTGGGAGAATGTCTTCGGGACTCGATCTAACCATTCAACCGTAAGGAGTATTCTGCAGTCTTGCAGGGGAACCGGCGTGACCTACGCGATACCTACCCAGGAGCAGAGGCCTTGGTCGCCTCCAACCGGCTTCCAGTGTATTTATGAGTCGTACTTCGAGGACGACTCGAAGCTTTGGTTTCCGATTCCACGTTTGATCTCGGCATACGCGAGGAGGAGAGGAGTAGCAATCAGTCAGCTGAAGATTGGCTCGATTCGGAACGCTGTTATGTTGATGGTGCTGGCTGCGGAGATAGATGTTCCCATGAGCGTGAGAGTGTTCGAAGAGTTGACTTCTACGAAGGCAGAGAGGGGAGGTCTGTTCTCCGTTAAAATGCGCCCGAGTTATAACGTGTTGACCGGCCAGCCTCGCAAGACGCCGAACTGGCAGCGTTCGTACTTCTACGTCAAAGCTGATAAGTATGCATTTGCGGAGGCCATTGAAGACGACTTCCCCGTGCTATGGAACAGAGAAATTGGTAGAGAACGCGCACCATGCTGTTTACCATGTTCGTCGGTTTTCTGACCTTTACTTTTTCTTTTGTAGGTCGTCATCCGAATACGATCGCTTACCCGGAAAATTTCTTCGAGATCGCACAAGCCATTGCAACTCAAAGTCATCTGAATTGGCCGGATCTGAGTCGTGAGTGGATTCGTCGACAACAGGCTCGCATAGAGAGAGGTAAAGGTTTCTTTTTGTAAGTTCAACTTTAGGTCCCAGCTAATAGACTGACAGTTATCCTTTACTTCGTTTTCACAGTTGATTGGGAATCGAGGCAACCGTTGATAATCTCGGCACGAAAGTCTCGATTATCCTTGTTCACCCGGAAACAACAGAAACTGCTCAAGCAAGCGAGGGAGATGTCAGGAAGACCGGATTTGAGCGCTTTGCTTAAGGGGAAACTCCAGTTGCTGAAGAAGACGACTTCTAGGGTCATTCCGGCCGGAGATGACAACGTTGATGTTACTCCACAAACCGATCCAAGTCAAAACATCCAGTCTGAAGTCGATCCTCCGGCTCCTGAAGAGAAGAAGAAGAAGAAGAAGAAGCGGAAGAGCCCCGTGACGAAGGAAGTAGGGTCGTCGGCTGAGGTTAATCCTTCCGAAGGACGTACTGACAGTCCGGAGACAAGGGAGAGGGAGGGAGAGCCGCGTGACGGTTCTACCGATGGCGATCCTAAGGAGAAGGGTCCGGAGGGAGGTCCGAAGAAAAAGAAGAGAAAGATTGCTAAGGAGGCGTCGAAATCCCTAAGTCCCAAACCTCTTTCGGTGGATACTTCGGGGGCGATTGATGCTGGTGGTGACGGGACTGAAGCGCGCGACCAATCGACCGAGCTTCTCCCATCTGACGTTCCTTCGAAGAGGAAGTCACCCTTTCGGAGGAGTCGTTCAGAAGGTGACTCCAAGAGACCCTGGATCGAGTTCGCGGATCGCGTGAGCTTCTCATATGACGAGAGGACTCCGTTGATTCATAATCCGGGTCCGTGCGCGGAGCTTACTCGTCAAATCCGAGGTGGTCCGGTTGATTTGCCTCCTGTGGGAAATCTCTTTTTTAAAGATGATTACGCGGAAGCCGCTCTTCAACACAGACGGGTAAGTTTTGATCGATGATTGCGTTGTTGCAGCAGCCTCTCTTTCTTTATTATAAGCTAAATTTTTTTATTCGTTCGCTTTTCAGGCTGATGGGAGTATGAACGTGCTCGTTGAGAAGTACGACAGGACGTTGAAGCAAACGATGACCCTTCTTAGTAATGCGGAAGGACTTGCCCGCACGAGACTTGGCACTATCGAGCAGATGAAGGCCGATACTAAGAAGGAGAAAGATATACTTCGCGAGAAGTTCGTAGGGTTTGAGAAAGTTCTCAAAGTCGATCGTGCGGCGAAGAAACTGCTTACGCGTGAGAAGGCAAGTCTCGAGAAAGCCAATGCTGTACTAGAGCAGGAGAAGGCCGAGCTTCTAGCCGAAAGAGATGCAGTGACGCAGAAGCTGTTCGATGAGAGGAAACGCCTGCGGGAATCTCGAAGTCTAGAGGTTACGCGCGAGAGGGTGCGCGTTGAGGCGGCTATGACTGACAAGGTTAACCGTTGCATCAATCGTGTTCGGGCTTACCTTGAGCGTCGCAGCCAATTCGATCAGGAGCAAAGTCTGCTGGATCAAGCTTCTGGGACGAAGAAGTGCCTTGAGATGATCCAGGAAGAAAAGGTGGGAATCACGCAAGAGCTAATCGACGTCTTTGGCGCTCAAGAGATGGAGCATGAAGCCAACGTTGCTAAGCTGAAGGTGACTCCTCTGTCTGATGCTGATTTCGTCCTCTCGCCGTTGATTCTCCCTTCTAGGTTCGTGAATGAGGAGTTTGCTGCCATGCTCGACCCGTACGGGTCTAACGATGACTTAGTTTCATCGGAGACGGCTTCGCAACTCCGGACATCAGGTGAAGCTCTTGGAAATGAGTCGACCGGTCAGTCGCAAGAGTTGCCGAAAGAGCCGTCTCCAAAAGAAGGCGAAGACAGAGTGGAAGAGCCGCCGAGAGAACCAGGTGTAACGGAAGAGCTGGTTGCTGAGAAGCATGCTTCCCCGACTCAAGTTGCACGGAAGGAGTTGTCTGAAGAGGTTGGCGAAGATGAGCCGGCATCGTTAGTCGATCTAATGGAGAGTCTTGCCACTGATCGTGGTAGTGAAGTCGTTAGAGGATCGGCATCTGAGTTAGCTGCTACCATCTCTGAAGATCCTT